CACCGGGAAGCTGCTGCCCACGGGGCGGGCCGCGGACGAGATCGAGGTCCCCGCCGACGACGACGGCGGCGACGGCGCGGCCATGGCCGTCGTGCGCGCCACGCTCATCGACGCCGGAAACCCTTGCTGCTTCGTCGCGGCGGCCGACCTCGGCGTCGCGGACGGCGCCATGAGCGCGGCGGCCATCAACGCCGACGAGCCGCTGAAGCGCCGGCTCGAGAGCGTGAGACGGCGGGCCGCCGTCATGATGGGACTGGCGGACAGGGTCGAGGATGCGCCCGGCAGCGTGCCCAAGATCGGGTTCGTGTCGCGGCAGGCGACGGCGGCGGCGGCGGCGTCAGGCGATGCCATCACGGTGCGGGCCATGTCGATGGGGCAGCCTCACAAGGCGGTGCCCCTCACCGTGGCCGTTGCGCTCGCCGCCGCCGCGAGGCTGCCGGGAAGCGTGGTTGCCGATTGTGTTGTGCGGCCCGAGGTGGCCAGTGTGGACGGCGGCGGCGACGACGACGACGCAAGCCTTGTAGTCCACCATGCCAGTGGCACGTTGACTGTCGGCGCAAAGTTCAGCGAAGAGGGGCACCTCGAACATGCTACCGTGTATAGGACGGCGAGAAGGCTCATGGAGGGCAGGATATTCTGGAAATGAATACATTAGGCATTGTGCCTTTGTGGTCTACCTCTGTAGGGGCCGAGATATGATCAAGACAAGCATCTTGCATCCACTTTATTGACATGTACCCAGTGATCACCACCTCGCAGCGCTCTTCTGGAGACATTATCTAAAGATCAGACTCTACATGTCTCGAGCTTTTGCTTTTTTCTTTATTTTTCTCACAATCCCTTTGTGATCGACTCAAGCGTGCGCCCGCTGCACCTGCAGCACAAAGCGCTGCCTTGCCGCACACACTCCGCAAAAAGGGGCCCCGCACACGTCATTGCACCATCCCGAACCCGCTAAGCGTGCTCGCCCACCACTCCGCAGCCCAAGCCCCGATTCCGGCGCCCTGCAAACCACCAGACAGCCATCAACCTCGGCGAGGCCCATCTCCAAGTCCAAGTGCCCCCTTTTGTGGCCAGATTGTCGCCACATAAATACCCCGTCTGACTCTTGCTGCGGCCTGTCCCGTTGCCCATGCCGTCAGCTTTGAGTTCCTCGGTTCTGCAGCAGTGTTTCTGGGGAGGAAGAGTCAGCGCCCTGCTCGCCACTACCGCCGTCTCTTCCATCACCCGCCGCAACCCACTAGCAGCAGCAGCAGCAACAACAGCAACAACAACACCAAAGGCAGCAACATCCCCCCTCCCCCACCTCACCTCCAGAATGTCATCGTCCTCGACCACCGCCGGCAGCGGCAAGCTAAAGCCGGCGGCGCGGGTGGCGGGCCGGCGCCAGGACGTATGGAGCATCATCAACGAGGCGGCGCTCGCGTCGCCCATGCAGCCCATCGTCAACATGGGCCAGGGCTTCTTCGGCTACAACCCACCGCAGTTCATCCTGGACGCGGCCAAGGCCGCCCTCGACCGCGTCGAGTGCAACCAGTACAGCCCCACCAAGGGCCGCCCGCGCCTCAAGAAGGCCATCGCAGACGCCTACTCGCCCTACTGGGGCCGCCCCTTGGATCCGGAGACCGAGGTCACCATCACGACGGGCGCGAACGAAGGTTTGTGCGGCCGTTGAGGTGGCGGTGATTGCGGAAATGGAATGATATCGGACTCATAGTTCTTGGCTTGCTTGTAGGCATGCTGAGCGCCTTTATGGCCTTTATCGAGCCGGGCGACGAGGTCATTGTTTTTGAGCCCTTCTTCGACCAGTAAGCATCCTTTTTCCTTGCGCGGAAATGGAGAAAGCGACGCTGGCTGTAAAAGGCAGAGCTGAACCAGCACGTGTCTGCAGGTACATAAGCAACATCGAGATGCCGGGCGGCAAGATAGTCTACGTGCCCATGCACCCTCCCGCCGCCGGCGCCACCCAGACGCTCTCGGCGGGAGAGTGGACCGTCAACTTTGACGAGCTGGAGCGGGCCATCACGCCCAGGACCAAGATGATTGTCATCAACACACCTCGTGAGTCCAAGCAGACCCCCTAACCTAGGTACGCAGCAATTACTCACCCCGACACTACCATCCCCGCCCCCACGCAGACAACCCCGTCGGCAAGGTCTTCACCAGGGCCGAGCTCGAGCGCATCGCGGCCCTCTGCGTCAAGAACGAGATCATCATCCTCTCGGACGAGGTCTACGACCGCCTCTTCTACACGCCCTTCACCCGCGTCGCCACCCTGTCGCCCGAGGTCGAGCGCCTCACCCTGACGGTCGGGTCCGCGGGCAAGAACTTTTACGCCACCGGCTGGCGCGTTGGTGGGTGATGTTTTTTTTCTTCTTCCTGCGTGCGTTTTGAACCTCTGGGTGGTGGACAACCTGCTGATTTTCACTTTTGTGCGGCTACCTAGGCTGGCTGATGGGCCCGGCCGAGCTGATACAGCACGTCTCGGCCGCCCACACCCGCATCTGCTACTCTTCCGTGTCGCCGCTGCAGGAGGCATGCGCTGTCGGTGAGTTCCCCCAACAAGGCAAACTATGACCATGGAGCTGGTTGCTGACAAAGCCCCCACGCCCGCTCCCACCCCCAGGCTTCGAAAAGGCCGAGGCCGAGGGTTTCTGGGACGAGTGCGTCCGGGACATGCGCGGCCGCATGGGCCGCTTCAACGAGGTCTGGCGCGAGCTGGGCCTGCCCTACTCGGAGCCCGAGGGCGGCTACTTCGTCATGGTGAACCTGCACAAGGTCCGGCTGCCAGACGGCTACCCGTTCCCGCCCCACGTGGCCGGCCGCCCGCGCGACTTCAAGCTGGCCTGGTTCCTGATCCAGGAGCTCGGCGTGGCCGCCATCCCGCCCACCGAGTTCTACACCGACGAGAACGCTGCCATCGTCGAGGACTACCTCCGCTTCGCCGTCTGCAAGCCCGACGATGTGCTGGACCTGGCCAAGGAGCGGCTGCGGGGCTTGAAGAAATTCATCCAGGACTAGGAGAGCCATCGATAGACATATGGGAAAATAAAACGCATGCAGCAGAGCCTTTATTGGTATCTATCAGGTCGCATTCATGCTACCACCACTACTTGGCGTAATGGATGCTCTTGACATGGCAGTACGCATAGAGTCCCAGCTTGCCCATCTCCCCGCCAAAACCGCTGTCCTTCCACCCACCCATCCAAGCTGCCGCATTGGGTCTCTCGGGCATCTGAAACGGAGCGAATCGCGTCAGCAAAGTACGTAAAAGCAAAATGTGGAGATCTCGGGACACGACTCACATTGATCCAGACCGAACCGACCTCCAGACGCTTGGCGATGCTCTCGGCTCGCCCAAGGTCCTTTGAGTAAACCGTGGCGCCAAGGCCCGAGTTTGTCAGGTTGGCCCGCTTGATCACGTCGTCCTCGTTGGACCACTTCATAATGGGCACGACGGGGCCTGTTGGAGGCGTACAAGCTCAGTCAGCAAAGGCGAGCAGCGCGGGGACACATAGAGAAGAGATCTCGTACCAAACTGCTCCTCCTGCACGAGACGCGAGTCCTCGGGCGGCTGGGCAACCACGGTGGGCTGGATCCAGAAGCCCGTGCCGTCGTGCGGCGCGCCACCCGTCAGGACCTCCCCTCCGGCCGTCTTGACATCCTGGAGGAGGCCCTTGACCTTGTCGAACTGCATCTTGTTGGACAGGGGGCCAAAGACGGTAGGCGGCGCATCGGCGCCGTTGGCGGCGAGCGCGGGGGCGTACGCGCGGGTCGTCTCGGCCACAAAGGCCTCCAAAAATGGAGCGTAGACGTCCTCGTGGACGTAGACACGCTTGGTGGCGACGCAGACCTGGCCGGCGTTGAAGTAGGAGCCGGCCGCGACCAGGGACGCCGTGGCGGCCACGTCGGCGATGTCCGGGCACACGATGGCGGCGTCGTTGCCGCCGAGCTCGAGCGTGACCTTCTTGAGGGTGCGCGCGCACGCGACCGCGACGAGCTTGCCGGTGGGGCTGGAGCCCGTGAAGCTGATCTTGTCGACGCCCGCGTGCTCCGTCATGAGCCGCCCCAACTCGCCGTCGCCGCTGAGCGCCTGCACGACGCCAGGGGGCAGCAGTGGCTGCACCAGCTCGGCGAACTTGAGCGCGCTGTAGGGCGTGAACGGGGAGGCCTTGATGATGATGCAGTTGCCCATCACCAGGGACGCCACGACCTTGATGCTACTGAGGATCAACTGTTGGTGCTCAGGGTGTCAGTTTCTGTTAAACTACGGAGACAGAATATCAAAAAGGAAGGCAAGAAAGCCAAAGAAAAGAAAAGAAAAAAAGAAAAAGGGGGGGCAACAGACAGGAAAGTTCCAGGGGCAGATGGCGCCGACGACACCAAGAGGCGGGAAGGTTGCCATGATTTTGACAGTTTCGTCTTCATACTGCAGCTCGTCCTCCAGGGCGTTTTGGGAGAAGAAGAGGCATTGATCGACCGTGTTTTTGATCTCAATCGAGGCCATGAGTTGCTGGGAGGAGCGCGTGTGTGGTTAGATAGTCATCAACAACGTCCGCCAACAGGGGTCGCCCGTTATTTACCGATTTGCCCGTCTCCCGCGCCACAATCTCGATGAGCTCGGGCGCATTCTCGTTCACCACGTCGGCCATCTTGGCAACAATCTTCTTCCTCTCCGCGACCGGGGTGTTGGCCCAGCCGGGGAAGGCATTGCGGGCGGCGGCGACGGCCTCGTTCAGGTCGGCGGGCGAGGCGACGGGCACATCCCACAGGGGCTTCTCGGTGCGCGGGTCCACGCCCCGGTCGACCTGCGTCCCGGAGCGGCACTCGCCGTTGATGATGTTGGAGAAAACGGGGCTCTGCGAGACGCTCCCCATGTTGGCCGATGTTTGTTGGTGTGTGGGTGTATGTAGGTGCTTGGCTCAAATCAGGAGGAGTCTACTCAAGGACCTCGCATTTCCCCTTCAGTCCGAGGGACAGCCAACAGGCCAAACGACGATACTTAAACGTCGACCCATCCAGGTGCTCCACATTCAAGTCCGAGAGGAGTCGGAGAGGCATGGCATGGAACCCAGAAACCCATGGCGCCCCCGCATGCCACGACAGGGTAGGCGACGGCATTGATACCACCACCGTTTCCAGTTCCACCGCGGCGCGCATAGCAAGCTGACAGGCCCCGACAGGGGGGCGCTTGCCGGATCATTTCTCCGATTAGGAGGGGCGCCTGTGCCTCGGCACGTTGCATCGGTCCGTTGGTGCCGCTTGGCTGCCCGGTGCGGAGAAGAGTCCGGGAGATGGAGTAGAGAGATATCAGAGATTCCCGTTGCAGCCGACATCCATTAGGGTTGGGTGCAGAAGCGAGGTAGCAGGCTGTGTGCAGTAGGCTGCGCCTTTGAAATGCGCTGCCGAGATTGGTCCAATGAGCTGTCGCCGCCCATATCTTCCCCGCAGTGCTCCTGTCTCGCATCGCATTGAGCTCCTGCCTCACATTTTGCATCCAGCTTTGACGATTGTTTCCCGGATGGTGCCAATATGTGCGAGCGTTGCTTCGTCAATGGAGCCAAGCGCGAAGGCGAGAGCCACAAACTGGTGATTACTCCAGTTGCTGTGGACTTCTCCAGGAACCCATGGGTAGTAGGCGATTACCACCGGCGACTAAAGGAACCAGAGGAGGTGCAACTGCTAGCGACCGGCCGGGTACAGGCCATGGCCTGCGATATATGCGACGGCCAGATTGTCCAAGGCTGCTTTTACCGCGAGTTGGCCGCCCATACTCCGTCTTTGCTACTAACCACAATCCAGATTTGGCGTGTCGTCCATCTTCCAAATACCCCATGGAGCCAGACTGCTGCAACTGCGGCAGCGACGGTCCCGATATATGCCATTCGTGCTACATCAGTGGAGTTCGCTGCAAGGGCCCGATATACCACGGCACTGCAGTTTTACTTCGCAGACGCCCTGGACCACTCCTGCCTCTCCAACATTTGGCCGGTTGCGTGCCAGAGGCGAAGCCAAGGATCGTTCCCACATGAGATGAAGGGACGAATCAACTGCAGCCTTTGCGGGAATCTCTTCAACGACGATGCTTGTTTCTGGAGTGAGTTTTGTCATCCTCCCCGTCTCTCCCATCCTATCTGACGCCAAATTTTGGCATTGGGCTTTCTACCTAAACTGCTGTGATTGCTTTGTAAATAGCAAGTACGACAACTTTGAAATTTGTCGATCATGTTATAGAGAAGGAGGAGGCTGCAACGATCGCCACCATCTTTTGACCTGCCACTCCCTGAGCTGATGCCACGAAGGAGTGGGCGGCACTGCTTTTTGTCAAAATCCCCAAGTGGACTTTCCTTCATAGCTAAACCGGTCCTAGGCAGGAATTCCCTTCTTTGGCCCTTTGAGAACAATCCGATGATGCGTTTGGTGTTTCGAGCATCACTGTTTCTGGAATACCACGAATTTTAATTCTCCTTGCGCAGGCGTGGACATCTTAGTTGGCGGTGAGCTTTAGAATTTGAATGCTTCGGTGAGATAAAGCTTGATTATGTCAGCCGAGCGGTGGTTTGGCCCGGTCGAATTCCGTTCCCCGCCTTGAGCCGTCACTATCCTTTTGCTTATGCCGAGATGGGCCCCACTATGTCGTAATATAGTTGGTTTTACAAACGCATGCGGACCGATGGATGCCGTCGTGTCTGCGAAAGGATAAGTGGTAATGACTAGGAAGGCCGATTGGGCTCCTCTCTCGAGCTCTATTAGCGATTGTCTGACATCCCGTCCATAACACTTGCTGATCCCGACGTCAGCGCCAGGCCTATCTCGCCATAATCACCACCACGTCCCTCTCCACAAGCAACGCCTCAAAACGCATACTCAAAGAAGTCACAGTACAATCGGTCCAAAATGGCATCTGCAACACTAAGCACGCGAGACATGAATGTCTTGGAGAAGATCAAAGATCCGGAGTTTGATCCCGCGGCCATCGTGAGGATAGAAGACTCTCTACCAGCCGACCCACACATCAAGGATGAGGCGGTGTACAAAGCCCTGTCGGCGAGGGAACGAGAGATCATCCTCCGCATGCACGAGGCAGAGACGCAGCTCGAAAAGAACAGCTCCGAGCCAGCGGCTACCGAGACATACAAGCAGTCCACAGCCCTTCTGGGGCAGCTCATCGAGGAACATCCGGACTACGCCAGCGCCAGAAACAACAGGGCGCAGGCCCTGAGGCGCTTGTACGGCGACTCGATGCTGGTCTCACAGCCGCCCGAGACGTCGCCTCGGCCCCTCGTTGGAGATGTCACTGACGACGAGCGGACTCGCCAGTCCAAGATAGCCCTGGAGGACCTTGACAAAGCCATCCTGCTGCTCTCCCCAAGGAGCCCCTGGACCCCGATCTCGGCCAAGGCCGCAAAAACTCTGTCGCTTGCCCACACACAGCGCGCAGCCATATACCACGCCACATCCAAGCTCCTGGCCCAAGACCACACACAGATAGACCACGGACGGAAGGAGTCGGGCTGGAAAACGCTCGAGTTCGAGGCCGCGGCCTCACACGACTTTGCCGTCGGGGGCCGGTATGGGAACGAGATCGCCAAGGGGCTTGCGGTGAGCACCAACCCCACCGCCAAGCTGTGCGGGCAGATGGTGCAGGAGATGATGAGGAAGGAGTATGGCGAGAAATATGCACAGTGATGCGCGCGGCGACGGATTTGTGCAGGCATTGCGGCCTGGCCGTTTAAAGGTGCCAAGTTGGCTGGTTGCGTTTTTCACACGCGAGCAAGTTGGATACCTAGAGGGGCCACGGGCGCACGAGCTTTATCGCGGGACGGCATGATCGTAGGGTCGCGAGATTCGGATGGCACGCTGGCTCCTCTCACTTTGCGCCTCCGAATAGATTCCCAACGCGTCTAATTAGGAGGATCGTGGCGTTAGGACAAATGCGACTATGATTTGTTACGGTGCTCCATCGACCAAATGCATACCTTCGCAAAGCCTCCATCGTGTCTGTCGATGTCTTCCCCTTCACCTTCTCCTCGCGGCTGATCCGGGTGGCTGCGGCAGAGACGCCGATGAAGACGGCAAATATGGGGTCTGCCACCCTCGAGATGATGTAGGTCGGAGGAGGCATCGTGCGGACGGCGGAGGGCGAGAGCTGGGCTGCTGGGATGGGCTGCCGCAAATGTTGGCGAATTGAGGATTTGCGCAAGACCACCCAATCCAGGTGGCTCGAGCTCAGTGCCCACCACGCCCGCTCAGCAAAGAATGGGGCCGACTCCGGCTCCATCACGTGCACCAGCAAGTGGAGCGTGCCACCTTTAGTACACGAGCCACACCCACCGCGGCCGCCCCTCGCTAGCCCCGACGCACAATTTGGAAATTTCGACTGACCTTTGGAGCAAGAAGAGAAAAGAGGAAGACAGCCCTCCCAGCAAACAACCAGCAACACCCTCTCACCCGCCATCCAGAGAGCCAAGATGAAGTTCCTTAAGGTCGGCCGTGTTGCCATCATCACCCGCGGCAGATATGCCGGCAAGAAGGTAAGAAAGAATGCGTGCAATATTTTTTCCGTCCTCAGAACCCGGCTTGGTTTCCCCCCGACGTCGACGCCCACGGTATTCTCTCCCCGATGTCCACGATGGCTGCGAAACGGACCCGACGAGCGACTGCACCGCTAGAAACGCAATGAATGCCTCGCCATGGCCTCGACTCTGCGGCTACGGACATCAGCAATCGGAGCAGGAGAACCAGTGGCCGCCGCGACGCGACAGTGGAGGCATCGGAGGGGCAGTCGATTGGGCGACTTGAGGAGAACGTCTGGGACAGGACTCGGGTACGGTGGCTGACATTCGGTCTTTTCCCCCCGCGCTCCAGGTTGTCATCATCCAGCCCTCCGACTTGGGCAACAAGATGCACCCCTACGGCCACGCCATCGTTGCCGGTATCGAGCGCTACCCGTCCAAGATCACCCGCCGCATGTCCAAGACTCGGCAAGAGAAGCGCAGCAAGATAAAGCCCTTTGTCAAGGTTGTCAACTACAACCACCTGATGCCCACCCGCTACACCCTCGAGCTCGAGGGCCTCAAGGGCACCGTCACCAACGACACCTTCAAGGAGGTCAGCCAACGGGAGGACGCGAAGAAGAACGTCAAGAAGGTGCTCGAGGAGCGTTACACGAGCGGAAAGAACCGCTGGTTCTTCACTCCTCTCAGTACGTGCCCCTCCGTCTTGCCTCGACCCCTTGCCTCTTGGGAACCCAAACGTCCCTGTCCCCTCATGGCACCTGGCCCAGAAAGTAATGCTGACCGACACGCCCGCAGGGTTCTAAATCATTTCTTCTTCAATCGGTTGGGCGGGGCGAATGGTTTGGGGCTGTATACAGCATACTCGACATTAAAAACTTGAGGCTCATGAGCTAAATCCACCGCGGTTCTTTCTGGTCAATGTGGCGTTCGATTATTCGGCCTTTTTTTCGGTTGCAGACAAGGCGATGGAGCACTGAACAAACGGTGGCGGCGTGTATCTACGATATCGGATCGTGGATGGCACACCTTGAATGCAAGCAGCAAAGACGTTGCTTCTGATGACACAAAGCGAGTCCAAGATGCACGTGAGCGACGCCGTGAGCTGGTGGGTGTCTTGTTTTCGGCTCCTGGATACAGGGCCGGCGAGGATTGCACACGCGAGTGTGGTGTCTCGCAGATGCGGTGACAATGTCGCCAGCAAGCTTGGGTCGCGACAAGTAGCCTTGTGCTACAGACATGAATATGACCGGATACAATACATTACGTGCAAGTCAAGCCAGTGTATGCCAGTGTTCAAAACTTGACATCGGGTTCCCTCGCTCGATACCACCGAGTTGTATTGAGAACGCCGCCTTATAATGATGGGCAGAACCTAACATCAGTAGGTGACCCAGGTGCGAACTTTTGGGCACCCGCACCGGTCGAGTGATGGGAAAACATGCGCCAATAAATAAAACAAGATTAACCCATGCCCTTCTCTATCTATATAAGGGGGAACTGTCCCGAGCCCAACTTTCAAGCCAAGACGGGCCGGCCGTGTTCATAAGATCAAAACAGCAGCGCCCTCCCGCGTCCAAACGTCGTAAAAGAAACAAAAAAAAATTGGATAGATAGAAAATGTACATGGAAAGAAGGACAGATGGGCGGGCAAAACGGCGCTGCGCCGTCCATCCATCGTACGGCCTCGAACCCCGGCGACGAAAAAGGCCTTGCAGCGTGGTTGGCCCGTGGCAGTCGTCGCTCAGGCGGAGGAGCCCACGACCCTGTTGGCGGCGCTGGTGAGGGCGCGGGCGGCGCCGCTCTCGGCGGCGTAGGGGCCCATGCCCCAGAGGACGATGATGAGCAGGGTGAAGACGGAGGCCAGGACGACGAGCTGGCGGCGGGCGGGCCGCTGGGCGCCGAACTCGGCCCAGGCGCGACCGGCGTCGGCGGCGTAGCCCCGGATGGCCTCGGTGCCGAGCTTGTAGTTGACCATGCCGGCGAGCGCGACGCTGTAGCCGAAGAACTGCAGGGCCGAGACCTCGGTTTGCCAGATGACCATGGAGGCGGCGACGAGCAGGACGTCCTTGAGGACGCCGCAGATGGTGAGGACGAGGGAGGACGTCTTTCCGATCTGTAATGGGTGGTGGGGTGGTCAGTTAGTAAAAGAGGCCCCACCCCATGACAAAAAAGCCCTGTGGCGAAGGCGCCAGAACAAGATTGCTCTCAACTCACCAGCATGACGACCGACACGTTGAGGAGAAAGGCGCAGAGGCCGTTGAGGAAAAAGTTGAAGAGACCGACGTGGTAGACCTCGGCCATGGAGACGCGGGGCAGCTCCCACAGCAGGGCCACGGCCAGGTTCATGACAGCGCAGACGGGGGCGAAGTAGTAGAGCGACACGAGCGGGTCCATATTGAACTCGGCCGAGCTGAGCAGGCGCTGGACCATGGTCAGGCGCAGGGCCTCGAAGACGACGCCGAGCATCTGAAACACGAAGCCGACCATGACGAACTCGATCTCGCCGACCGACGCGATGACGACGCCGACGACGATGACCGACACGTTGAGGAACACCTTCAGGTTGGGCTTGGCGATGCCCATGCCCCAGCTCGCCAGCAGCACGGCAACCGGGGTGGTAGCCTTGAGCATCTGGATGAAGGCGACGCTGAGGTACAGATAGGTCAGGTTGCCGAAGATGAGGCTCAGGCTGAAGAGCACGCCGATGGGCAGGATGGCGCGCAGGTAGACGTGGCCCGTCATCTTGACCGTCTTGCGGCCGTCAAGCAGCGACGTGTAGCGCGCCAGCAGCTGGGTCATGATGGTGGCGAAGGTCAGGTGATATGTTGTCAATATCACGGGGTATTCTTTTTTGGGGGAGGAGTGGGATGCCGGTCAGTAAGCGCCTTGGCTGAGGTTGAAGGATGAACATGGCCCGGGCCGGAGGGGAAAGGTCCGGGCCGGTGCTAAGGCCGGCCAACGTCGGGCGGGGTGTGCTCTAACGGGGACGGAAACTCACTAAACCCCTTGGTGTCGAGGATCCATTTGTTGAACAGGATCACGGACGAACTTATGCTGATCCATGCGCTGCAGTCGAAACATGTTAGAAGGACTGCTCCAGCCTTCATCGTCACGAGCCATCTGGTCCTTACATAACGTAGACGGCGGCCGGCACGGGGCCACTGCGGGGCGCGGGTGTGTTGGCGATCGGGAGCACGGGGCCGGAGCGGTCCTCGTCTGCCGAGACACGCGTCTTGTCTTCGGTGCTCATTGTCACGGTCAAACGTCGCGCGCCGGCGGGGTGTGATCTGTCGGTCGGGCGTGTGTGGTGGATGGGTGGTGGGTGGCCGTTATCCAAAAAAAGAAGGACACGCGAGTTTGATCGCGGGTGTTGGCAATCAAGACAACCCCGAGTAGAAGAAGAAAGGAAACGCAAAATCTCCACTAGCACAAGCCGAAAAAAGGTAACGAGTGTGACAGCAAGTTCGACTGAATCGATTTAACCTTGTGGGCGTGGGCTTGTTGAGAAAGATTTGAAGCTTGCTGTGGAGTTTTTCTCTCCTCTTGCTTCTAGCCAGGCCCTCGCAAAGTTTCGGGAGTCAAGACGACGCCGATTGGCGATCTGTGGCTTCCACTTGCGGGAAGGAAAAAACCGAGCAGGGGGCGGCACCTGTGCCCTGCGGCCAGACGGAGCAGATATAAATGGAAGTGGGTGAGAAGAATAGGACGGAATAGAGAGAAGCCACGGGTCTAGGTCTGGATGCAAAGGTAGGTGCTCAATCGGTCGAGTAGCTCAGCATCAAGACGGTTTTGTGAATCTGGTTCAGCGTCTGTCCATCTCGGAGGTTCCCAGTTCCAACTTGCCCCCTAAAAAGCCAACGAGCGTGCAGTGCCAAACACGGTCGGGAATAAGGAGGTGGAACCTGGAAAGGCCACACGTGTAGGGCGAAATTGAGCAGGCTGAGGAGATTGCTGCCAAGTTCCGCTTGCGGGAGCCTACCCACTGTGATAGGGCCTGCGACCGGGGATGTCCCCGCAGCCCAAGGTCGAGACCAGGCGGTGCAGAGACCTCGAATGCAGCAGATTGAGAGGGATGGCGACATGTTGATCTGCATTTGGTCAAATGCTTTTTTTTTTTGTTTGTTTGTTTGTTTGTTTGTTTGTTTGTTCTACACCACAGCTAGAGCTAAGCTGGACAGGACAGTAGAAAGGACCTAAAGGGTCCAATGTGCGATCCGGCCTAGCATGGAATCCCCACATTGGAATATCACATCAGCGGCATGGCATTGATCTCATGTCTTTGGGCCGCATCCTTTGCCCTCTCCAGCGGTGAACTTTTGCCGCGCCTCATTGAATTGATCTTTTGTTCTTTTGTTGGCTCTCGGCTCGGCTCCCGATCCTGCCCCCCACCTGTGCTTTAGTGTCAGTGGAATCAGCTCATCGCTACAGTAGCTCTCATTCCTTCTTTCCAGGGAAACATCGAGTACGTACGTGCATGTTCACATTCTGAACACGGCGACACGCGCAGGCACCGCTAGCGGTATCGGGGCCAATGCCCCTCCGGGCCACTGACTCCGGCCAACTCTATCCCGGACAGCAGCGGACGCCATTGCGGGTTTCGAAGACGGAGCTGCGTCTGTCCAGGCTTGCGCGCATTGAGTAATGGGGAGGGCGGGCCCCTCCTCGCGAAGCAGGGTCACCGCTGCTGGTGGACACGGCCGTCGACGGCCAAATATGAACATCCAAGCTGTCGCGCCGCGCCGTGCCGGGGGCTGCTGTTGCAGCAGTACAGCAGATGATGCCATCGGTGACTCGCACCCACACTGGATACACAGGTACCTTCCATAGGTACCTTCCAAACAAATAGAAGGGAGGGCACTGGGGCTGCTCCAAACACGAAGTCGGCACAATCCTCGGAACAGCGGCAGCAAATCTCGAAATTCGGATGGCTAGTTCGGTTCGGTCAATTGTGGACAAGGGCTGGAGCTCTGCCTCGCCGCTCCCCGTTGCGCGGCCAGAGGGCTTGATTGGTCCATTGGCGGGTGCCTTGCTGCTGCCCCTGGCTACTGGCCGCACCTGCCATGCTGTCCGTTGTGGAACTTTTTAGTGTTCTTTTGCTCAGCCCGAGTCCTAGCACCGAGCAAGGCGGCACGGAGGGACTTTGTCAGGAAGGGATTCTGAGATACAATCTTGTCACACGCCGCCCAGTGTCCGTCTCGGACGCCATCTATACAGTATATCTCGGCCACTGAGGACAAATAACAAGGTGTGGCTGACGGTCCAAGCCAGATCCAGCCACAACCGCAGGCTGCTGCTGTTGCCTTTCTGATTGAAAGGATCAATTTGTCAATTTGTCAATTTGTTCACTTTCTCAAAAAGCGACCGCCAAGCAAGCAACCTTACCGCCCTGGGCTTCAGCAACTGGCAAGCCTTCTCCGGTGGGACCAGTCCAACTGCAGAAATAGTGTGGTGGCCTTGCATCACCGTTCAGCCCCTGCCCTCCCGTGCCTGTCAACTTGTCTTGGTCCTCCACATATATCTGTTTCCTGACGGCTTTCCGTTGCCAAAATCAAACCCCCGTCGCTGCGGCTACTTGCAGCCTTTCAATTCCCTTCCAACCATTGGCTCCCAGGAACAATAGCCTCACCATGGTTGCCGACATGTAAGTTTCGAGACGACTCCCCGCCTTCTTTCCCCGGCTGCCTTGTCCTGGTCGCCCCAGCTTGGCGGCTCTATCCTCGTGGCCAAGAGCAGAACTGATACTTTTCTACAGCACCGTCGACGTCCTTGTCATTGGCGCGGGCCCTACCGGCCTCGGCGCGGCCAAGCGTCTGAACCACATTGTAATACTTTTCTGCTCGGCGCTTTTATACCAACTCCTGCTAACATTTTCCAGAACGGTCCGTCATGGCTGCTGCTGGAGTCCGACGAGAGGGCTGGAGGTCTGGCCTCGACCGATGTTACCCCTGAGGGATTTGTATGAGCCTCCCTCCCGTGACGTAGATGCTCCGAACTGCTCTGGCGAGGTTCAACTAGGAGGTGGCAAGAGGCATCTTGAACACAGCTAACCATCGCGGATCCAGCTGTATGATGTCGGTGGTCATGTCATCTTCTCCCACTACAAGTACTTTGATGACTGTCTAGACGAGGCGCTGCCCAGGAAAGAGGACTGGTACAGCCACCAGCGCATCTCGTACGTCAGGTACAAGAAGCTGTGGGTGCCGTACCCCTTCCAGAACAACATCTCGATGCTGCCCAAGGAGGACCAGGTGGTGGCGGTCGAGGGCCTGATCGACGCGGCGCTGGAGTGCCGCGTCGCAAACACCAAGCCCAGGGACTTTGACGAGTGGATCGTGCGCATGATGGGCGCCGGCGTCGCCGACATGTTCATGCGGCCCTACAACTTCAAGGTCTGGGCCGTGCCCACCACGCGCATGCAGTGCCAGTGGCTGGGCGAGCGCGTGCCCGAGCCCGACGTCAAGCTCGTGACCAAGAACGTGCTGCTCGGCAAGGTGGCCGGCAACTGGGGGCCCAACAGCACCTTCCGCTTCCCCGCACGCGACGGCACCGGCGGCATCTGGACCGCCGTCGCGAACACCCTGCCCGCCGAGAAGCTCCGCCTCGGCAGGAAGGCGGGCACCGTCACGTCCATCGACGCCGCCGCCAGGACCGCCACGCTCGCCGACGGCACCACCGTCGGCTACGGCAAGCTCGTCTCCACCATGCCCGTCGACCACCTCGCCGAGACGCTGGGCGACCGGGAGCTCGTCGGTCTCGCCAAGGGGCTCTTCTACTCGTCGACCCACGTCATCGGCGTCGGAATCCGCGGCGAGCGCCCGGACCGCATCGGCGACAAGTGCTGGCTCTACTTCCCCGAGGACGACTGCCCCTTCTACCGCGCCACCGTCTTCTCCAACTACTCCCCCTACAACCAGCCCGAGGCCGCCGTCAGGCTGCCGACGCTGCAGCTGGCCGACGGGTCCGCCGCGCCGCCCGGCTCCGTCGAGGCCCGCGAGGGCCCGTACTGGTCCATCATGCTCGAGGTCTCGCAGTCGCCCGAGAAGCCCGTCGACGAGGCAAACATCCTGCGGGACTGCATCCGCGGCCTCGTCAACACCGAGATGCTCCGGCCCGAGGACGAGATCGTGTCGACGTACAACCGCAAGTTCGACCACGGCTACCCGACGCCCACGCTCGAGCGCGAGGGCGTGCTCAAGGAGCTGCTGCCCCGGCTGCAGGACATGGGCATCTACTCGCGCGGCCGCTTCGGCAGCTGGAGATACGAGGTGAGTTTGTTTGGTGACTTTGGAGAGGTTGGAAAAAATGATGCGGCTGAGCTGTCATACTAACGAGAACGAAAAAAAAAAAAAAAAAAAAAACACAGGTCGGCAACCAGGACCACTCCTTCATGCTCGGCGTCGAGGCCGTCGACCACATCGTCAGCGGCGCCGTCGAGCTCACGCTCAACTACCCGGACTTTGTCAACGGCCGCCAGAACGTCGAGCGCCGCCTGGCCCAGGGCTTCAGCTTCGGCGGCGAGAGCAAGCAGAACGGCGTCCCGCGGAGATAGGGCAAGCCGTTGCCGTTGCCGTTGCCGTCATCACCGCCGCCGCGCCCAAGGGGGTGGCGCGTTTACCGGGGGCTGTACGTTCCGAAAGGGGAAGGGGACGCGAATGAGGGAGATTGCCTATCTAGGGAGGGCGAGTCGTCGTCCCGTCCCGTTTTGTTTTCTCCCCCCTCCCCCCCGTCTTTGGTGTCAGGTACCTATGCGGTATCACCGCCTCGGTCAGCTGAGCGTGTTTCGGGTTTGTTCTCAAATGCCATTAGACCACCGCACGCATCATGAGATGGAAATGTCTTTTTTTATTATTTTATTTTATGGATGCGAACCATGTAGGTACAAGTTGCATGCCCCGAGCGGTTCCTTGTCGTCATTACGCGTTGCTGCGGCGTGACGCATGGAACAGACGAGAGGCGCCGAGGATGAGCGTTACCTACCTGCTTTTATAGATCTAGATAGAGACCTGCCGCCACGATCGCTTGCATGGCGTCCAATACAGCCTTTGATTTTTTGTTTCTACCACGCACCGCTGGTTCCGCATGAAACCCGTACGAGGCAGCCGCACGGCCATACCTACAGGAACTACCAAGCACGCAGATGATGACATGGCTCATGGGTTCACGCATGCAATCCAGGTTCATGCAACAACAACCCGGTGCGTTTCTGTCAATGCAGAGCTCGTGCGGATTCCAGTGCAGAAGTCTAGCGAAGCTAGCTGATACTGTCAAACAGACAGACAGACAGACAGACCAAACGGACATCACACGTTGTCCGTTCCCCTCCCTTCACCTCACGCCTTCTCCGCCCCGTCCTCCCAAAAGGCGACGGTGACGCCGTCGTGCGGCTGTAGCACGATCTCGGCCTTGAGCCTTGGGGTGCCGCCGTCCACCTCGGCCATGTGGCTGACCACGCGGGCGTAGCGCTGGAACATGCGCACGAGCACGTAGCCCATCTCGGTCAGCGCGAACTGCTGGCCGATGCAGATGCGGGGCCCGCCGTTGAAGGGGATGTACTGCCACGGCCGCGGCTGCCAGCCGGACCAGCGCTCCGGGCTGAAGACGGCCGGGTCGGCAAAGGCGGCCGACGTGGGCGGGTACAGGTCGGCGCGGCGGTGCATCAGCAGCGTCGAGTAGCCGATCGGGGTGTCCTTGAGCACTGGCAGCGGCTGCGAGCCGTCGGGCCCGCCGCCGCGCGGGAGCGTCGTGTCGGTCAGCGCGAGGCGGACGTTGAAGGGCACGGCCGGGTAGATGCGCAGCGTCTCGTTCATAACGTTCTGGAGGTACTTCATGCTCTTGAGGTCGGCGTAGGTCGGTGTGCGGTCGAAGCCGACCACCTGCTCGATTTCGGCCCGCAGCCGCGCCACGCATTCGGGGTGCCGGCCGAGCTCGTACAGGGTCCACGACAGCGTCGCCGCCGTCGTGTCGCGGCCTGCCAGCAGCACCGCCATGACCTGATCGCGTATCACCTTGGGGTCGCGCGTGAACGACGCCAGCTCGTGCAGGAACGTGTAGCCCTGGTCTGACTTGGTCTTGGTGGCCAGCTCCTCGGGCGACAGCCGGAGCGCGCGCTCGATGTAGATTTTGATGTAGTTATCCACCACCTTGAGCCCGGCGTTATACGACTTGCGCGGCACCAGGCCCTGAAGTGGGCCCGAGCGAGAGATGATGTTTTGCGCGCGCTGCACCTCGTTGAAGGCGTCGGCGAACTCGGTCCGGTGTGTCCTATTATCGACATGTCAGCCACTCTTTTCTTTCGTCGACCATGCTGGAAGAGCTGGTACAAAGCCCAAGGACTCACGTCATGGACTTGGCTTCCTTGCCCAGCAGAAAGTCGGTGGCCACATCCAGCGAGTAGCGGAAGAACAGGTCGCTGATGTCCAGGCGACGGCCGTTGGCGGCGCTCATGTCGACAGGCTGGTCCTCGCCGTTGAGGGCGCCGCCGTTGGCGACGCAGCGGAAGAAGGTCTGCATGTGGGTCTCGAAGCAGTGCAGGTCGCTGACGCGGTCCTTGATGAACTGCGGGCGCAGCAGCTGGCGGCTGGCGTGCCACTTGTCGCCGTCGGTGGCGAAGATGCTGTCTCCCAGGAAGGGCTCCCACTCTCGGTGGAAGGGCTCGCCCTTGCCGTAGTCTGAGAACTGCGTTGCTAGCAGCGCCTTGATGTTCTCCGGGTCCGCCGTCAGTACGATGCGCCGCGTCAGCATGCGGCCCTCGACCGTCCACCCTCCTGTCCGGTTAAAGTGCGACATCCAGATTTCGACGTTCTTGTGCGCCATGGCCGCCTTTACAGTTCTGTATATCATGTCGATGCCTGCCGTGGGGCGCATGCCCATGTGTGAGCAGGGGTCAGGCGCTGGTGTCTTGGGATGGGCCGACTCACCGAACGGCAGATTGGAATGCATCGGTGGGCCATGAGACCCGAGCCTCCTGATCTTGATCTCCTCGATGACCCTGCTCACAGTCAGGTAGGCTATGAAGGACCCAACGAGCCACACCACGATCCCCTTGGCGGAGACATGCTCCAGGGCCGCCTCGAGGAGCCCCATGTCGACCTGGATACTTGTCGATGGCTTGAGTGGCCCTACACCCTTATTCGACTGGTGTTGAACCCAGTCGAGATTTGAAAAGGGCGCGGCCCAAAGGGCTTGCCAGCAGTGCCCTCTTTGGGAATTGGAGGCGTGGAAGGCAATCCCAGGCCACAAACCCGTGGGTGGGTAAAAGAAATGGTCGATGTCCTCGTCTCGATAGATATCAACGCAGCTATCTCTTCAACAAAGGTGTGGGGGTTATTGATGAGACGACAGGGGTGGACTTGTAAAGAAAGATGGTCCAGTAGGGAGAGGAGAACAGTGGATGATTGCGAGAAGAGAGGGTCCGGAGGGTCTGGGCGGGATCAAAGGTGAAGCAGGGCGAAATTTACGGGAGGTAGTAGTTAAGTATGCGTGGGATCACGTCAGGATGAAGTGTCCGGTTGAAGTGGCCATACACAGTTGATGTATATACGACTTGACAGAGTGAGGGTGTGCGACCATCCGAGCATGGGGTGGGCTGGGATAGATATACACGGGAGGTTCGTCCCTCTCTCCGGACAGCCAGGAGGGCCGGGGATCAAGTTTGGCCGACGGAATCAATGGTTGGATGCGTTTACGCTGGCTGCTCCATGACACACTGGCGAGGGGGTGATTCGTGGGTGGTCCCCGCCGCAGCGATGACAGCACGGGCGGGCAAAGGGATCCCTTCCTCAGCCGGGGTGGCGTCAGACGCGGGATAATGCCTGAGATCTCTCATCTGGTGTCTGGCCCAGTTCCCCGGCCAAAATTGCACCCCCGCCAACCCCGTGGGCCCTGGGTCCTCGAGGCCATAACGAGCAATGTGGTGCCGGAACCGAATAAAACACTGTGCCATATTGTGTGTGTGAATGTGTGCTTCTGGCTGATTCAATGGCTGGCGTATACGGTGCGATGAACATGCTTGCAGGGGAGGTTCGCACCCGGCGAGGCAGAGGTCTACACAGTAATAACGCACTGATCATTGTGCCAATGTCGGATTTCAGGGCACGGTTGCGCTTTTCTCGGAGCGGCAGCTGCTGGTTGGGGAAATAAAACAATCGTCGAGGGGGTATAGAGACATGGAAGAGCACCTCCTTCGCGCGTGCGCGCGTCAAATCCAGCCCACGGGCGGGCTCGGATCGGACGAAGTTGCCGCTGGAGCATCAGCCCCCCTGGGATGGTCCAGACGTGTTCGTCACCCACTGTTTGGACGCAGGGAGCACGGGCTCTGAGTGCATACGGCCTGTCGGCTAGCTGCCTGAGCGAGCACTTGTCCTCCTCTCCGGTGTGCAGGTGCATGTCAAGAAGGCGTTGACGGGAAGGGATAGATGGACAGATGGGGGCGCACATAGATCCCAATCAGAGGGAGGAGGATACACTGTGTGATATGTGCTTACACATACTGTAACAAATCTGTAGATCTTGGCAGGAGAGAAGAGGGGAAGGACCGGGTACCGAGGCAAAGAATGCGGAGACGCTAAAAAAACAACGAAAGACAAAGGAAACAAGAGAGCAAGGTCGGGAAGCTGCCAAGACAACGAGCCAATCATAGACCGAAGTCGACCGCGCGATATCACCTCAATACTAGCTAGATCGGGTATGGAGGTCGCAGGGAGCTGGTCTGGTCTGGTCTTGGAAGCTGGTCTCGAGACTTGACGATGTCTGCTTGGTGTTTCCGGTGCCCGCTCCCCTTCCAATAAAGACGAGTCGAAAGCATCTCGCCTGTCACACCAGCGCGCGGAAACAAGGCCGAAATGCTCGGACGCTGTGAGGATGGCGTTACGAAGCACATTCGTCGCACGGCAGGAAAAATCCCGGCGGTGCGAGATTGGACGGCAGCAGGCCGTGACCAACGGGAGCGGGCTGGCGGGGTTAAAATCCACCCGGGAAAGGAAAGCCCCAGGCCTCGCCTTCTCGCCGGCACCAGCCGAGATTCTAGGAAGGCGTGGTGGTGGGTGATGCTGCCCAAAACTCTCCGCCGAGCCCCACTAGACAGGTTTGTAGGGAAACGATCAAGACGCTTTCCGTTTCCGCCGGCGACGACATGGATGGGTCGAAAAAAAGAAAACGAATCATGAAAATGTGCGACGGGGAGGCGAGGGTACATTGAGCCCCACAGTCCATCGCGTCGGTCCATCGACTCCCTCCCCCGCATTTCCCATGCAGCACGTCCCGGGACTAGATTGCGGGGGGTACGCACTATACTGGGCGTTGTGCGAGACGACATGTATCTAGAATCCCTCTAGCTTTCTTTCGTTACTAGCGCTTTTTCTCACTCCCTCCCCCTTCCTTTTCGCCCAAGTTGAACGTGAAAGGTACAGGCGACACTACGCTCTGGCTGGCTAGACTGCATATGCCACGCCACGCCACACCATGTCATGCTATGCCCAAAACGCCCCCTCGGCCCGAACCTGGAGCTCTGGCCACCGGTTTCAGCGCATGTAGATTGACAAGCCAGGAAAAGGAACAAAGAATAGACACGGACGGCTCGCCTCGTAACGCGTACCACTCATGGTTGTCCTAAACAAGGCCGGCAGGCGCCCAGGTCTGGTTACGCAGGCACGACAAGCACGGCACGGGTGTGTAGGCCATGCGGGCGCACGAGTTCAAAAATACCCGGTGCGAGCCAAAGTGAAGCCGGTCAAGCAAAAAAAACCCCCCAAAAACCCCAAAAACCC